AGGTTGAAAATCATTGCTCCAAAGTTCTCATCCACCTAGAATATGAGCTTGGTGACTACTGGGACATTGCCTGGACTGTCCACTCATCGCTATGGGTCAGTACAGTATCTTGTACTTTGTAGGTATTCACATATATATTTTTGATGACCGAATGAAGTACGTTCTACCAATCTAAAGACCTCATCTGAAGGACTCAGTGGGAGAGCCAAATGAAGGACAGGAAAAGACGAATAGCAAAAAGATGCACAGGCTAAGGCTCAGGACAAAGAAAGGAAGATGGTTTTATTAACCAGGTTTGCAGTCTAGATTATGGAAAGCTGGATGATTTGAAATGGACTGGGCTGTAACCCTCAGAATGAGGTGTGTGTGCACCAGTTTTAGGGCAGCCATGATGCGGTGAGTAATTGCCAAGCACATGAAAACCAGCATGGCATGAAGATCTGTTTCTGAGGAATAACATATATGAGAGTCTGGCTTATTTTAATTTGTGGTTATAACATCTGGTGAGAGTATAAGTTTTAAATTATTTATCATTGCAAAGTAGAACTGCACCTGCTAGTCAAACTCAATAACAACTAATTAAAACAACAGGGCATTTTTATTTGGAAAGCCTTTGTGGGTAACAGATGGAAAATCACAGCCTCTCTTCCCCCACACAGCCTACAGGGGTAAAGCACATATATATGTTTTTGTTGATTTTAGAGGAAGGGTGAGGGGGAGAGAGGAACATCCATCACCACCTCCTGCACACCCCCTACAGGAGACCAAGCCCACAACTCAGGTGTGTGCCCTAACTGGGAATGGAACATGCAACCTCTCAATATATAGGATGACACTCAACCAACTGAGCCACACTGGCCAGGACCATATTATATTTGAAGATATGAAAATGTAGTTTCTTGATCACCACTTGGTTTTATAAAGGTTGAAAAGCATTATGCACACTCTTCCCAATTCTGTCATTCTGTTGCTCTGTCCTCAGTGCTCAAAATAGAACTTGGAGCTGAGTAGATGCCCAATAAAAATTTGTTGAATTGAGTGTGTGAATAAATGAACCTGCAGTTCCGAGCCTTGGGGCCACTCTACTTCTGCTAATTTACTCCACCACCACTCCAGATTGGGGTTGAGTTCTTTATTTCCCTAAATCCAAAGGAAAGTTAAGTTTTCTTAAGCATAATGTGTAGGACCATAGAATCACATTTTCCAAAATATAAAATTGCCTTATTGTTTTGTTTTTAACTTGAGTAATATATGATCATTGTAAGAGAAACTTAGATAATACCAAAAGTAAAAGGAAAGTAAAAATTACCACCAATCCCCCAAAGAAAACGCCGACTCCTACTACAGATGAGAAAGCCAAAGTCTAAAGTGAAAGGAAAAGGGACTTGCCCAAGGTCTTACATGCCCTTTATCTTCAGATCAAAACCACGATTTTAGGCAGCCCTTGACTTCTGGTTCTGGCCATCTGTTTCCTGTACACACCCTCAACTTTCCCCTCAAAGTTGGCTGGACCACAAAGCCTGACCTTCACTATTCCCATAAATGATCAGATTTTACAAAATCCCAAAAGGTAAACATGGGCTTACATACCAGAACCCAGTATATTAGAATGAGAAGGTTCACCTTGAAACATTAAATAATGAACTTAATACCAATATAAGAACTTACTTAAGTACTTCTCTAAAAAAAGAAAGAAATCAGATGGAATATAATACCTCAAAGAATTAATATAGACAGTTAAACAAGGTTAGGATACATTTGTATAAATTTATTTTAGGTTATTAAGGGTACCTACCTACCTAAGATTCCCTGAGTACATTCCTTTTAAGATTGACATGAAAGAAAGACAGGAAGACATATCCTTCCACATAAAACTAAAAAACTGGAAGGAATGAACTATGCAGCTGTGTGGAAAATTCTTAGGCAAACTGCTAGTTCTAAAGAGCCCTGGCTTATTCACTCTAATCACAGTATGGCTCTAACCACAGCAAGTTAGTTCTAACATTCCTCTCACATGGATTCCCTGTCTCCTTATTCACATACGAAGCAAAGAAACTGATGACACTGATCTAGCCTGATGCCCAATTTCCTGCCCTCATTCCTGAGCCCCTCTCACCCCCATTCTGGCCTGGCCTGATTTCTGACCCTGCTGTGCTTTGGTTTCCTAGCTTACCATGAGGGACTTAAGGGCAGAAACCGTATCTATTTATACCTCACCATTATTTTCCCTGTCCCTAACACAGACACTGAAACTTGGTTGGTGCTTAATAAATCTTTTTGGGTAAAGATATTTTGTGGACTTGCAGGAGAACCAGAGGCCAAATGCCACCTTGTTGGAGAGAATAAGAGGTGTGCTCCACTGGGTCTGGATGCTGCCTACATGGCCTCAATGCCCACTCAAAACTGGCGCCCCCATACTCTCCCTGGTTCTCCCTACTTCATTGATTGTGTTGGGTCTTCTTGGATGGCTTCCATGATGTCTTTATAGCCTCTTGCTCTCTCTACACTTGTTTTCTCATCAGTATCACTGCCATCCATCTTCACCTTTTGTACTACTACTGGCATACTAAGTGTGCCCAAACTTATTTCTCTAACTAGAGGCGTGGCGCATGAGATTCGTGCATGGGGAGGGGGGTCCCCTCAGCCCAGCCTGCACCCTCTCCAATCCTTAGGGGATGCCCGGCTCCTGAGGATCGGGCCTAAACCGGCAGTCGGACATCCCTCTCACAATCCAGGACCACTGGCTCCTATCTGCTTACCTGCCTGCCTGCCTAATCGCCCCTAACTGGCCCCCTGCCACCCTGATCACCCCTAACCACCTCTGCCTGCCAACCTGATCGCCCCCTAACTGCCCCTCCCCTGCCGGCCTGGTCGCCCCATGCAGCCTGCTGCTTGGTCATTTGGTCGCCCCTCACTAACCCCCCTGCCGGCCTGGTCGCCCCACACAGCCTGCTGCTCAGTTGTTTGGTCGCCCCTCCCTAACCCCCCTGCCGGCCTGGTCGCCCCACGCACCCTGTTTGGCCTTCCGTTCAGTTGTTTCGGTTGCGACGGTCACTTAGGCTTTTATATAGATAGATAGTAATCTCTCTCCTTTCTGAACAAACATTGAAACTTTCTATTGCCAAAGGCCTGTAGGAAATCCCCACTTGTATGTAGTTTCTAGAGGAAATTAAACACTCCCTCCCATGCTTATCCAAGAATGGAACCCATCCCAGTTTCCCAGCTGGGACAATGCAGAGACCTTTCCAGCTCCTCAGACTTATATTCCTTGGAATTGTCTTTGAGTTTCTCCCTCTCCTGATTGGTTAGCTAATTCTCCTGCTATAAAGACTATCATATTTGATCTTTGTTTTCATATTCGCTGCCCTGAGTCAGACTCTCATTACTGTATGTTTAATACTAGCTCTTCAGTGCTGGTATCGCCATACTCTAGTCCATTGTAGATAACGTTTTCTAACATCTTCATCACACACCGCTCCCCTGCCGAGTCTGTCTATTGCTCTTTGTGTGAAATAGAAACATCCAATAGGTGCAAGTCCCACTTACTCTGCCCCAAGTACTCAACGATTTCTTGCACCAGGAGTCTTAGTTCCACCTCTGGGCTTTTGCTGGTGTGATTCCCTCACCGACATGGTTCCCTTCTCACTCTGTCTACATCGTGGCTTTCTCCATGGCTTACCACTTTCCAGGAGCGTTGCCTGGCTAGTTTCATCACAGGATGAGGACTGCTTTTCCTTCTCCTGGAGTTCATGTTTAGTTCTGGCTATACTGATATTTTGTTTCTTACGTATTTAGCTAATGCTACTGGTTAAAAAAGAATAATAACTACCATTTATAGAAGCCTCCTATGTGCCAGGGACTGAGCTAGGTCATTTATGAAGTTCCATAATCTTCACAAGCACACAAACTATGTAGATATTATGCCTATTTTACAAATAAGGTAACTGTGACTGAGAGACAAGTCACTTGCTCATTCATGCTCACACAGCTCAGAAGTGGCAGAGCTGGGATTTGAACCCACAGAGCCCAGGTACCACGCATGTATGTGCATAAACATTTCATGAATGGCAGCCTACTCTGACCAAGTTAATCAAAGGCAGTAATTTCACCTTCTTCTTTTGCATTCTCCAGACAAATAAGTAGAGCCTATGGACCCCCAAATGTTTTGTTATAGGTGTAAGTTCCAGTTTTCTCCTGCAGAATCCCTAAGGGATCACCTTATTACCACCTTTTCATTTGTGCACTGGAATTACTGTGAGGCAACATTGATTTGATTTTAAGATCACTGTTTAACATTTTCTTCCTGCGAATGCCAACTCCGCTTTCTCTGAAGACCCTCTGGTTTAAGCCACTTTTAATGCCACTGTCCTTAGCTCTGAGGTCAAAAATTTAAAATATGCATTTATATTCCATACTTCACATGGCATTGTTTCATTTCCCCAACCTGCCCTTAAAGTCATCACAACAGAGGCCTCACACAAGGTAGCAGCTTCCAACTAGACTCAAAATCTGCACAGTAACATACCCACCGGCTACGAGCCCATAATACGCAGTTTCCTGCATCTACATGCTTTTCTAATAAGAATAATAATGTGCCACAAGATCCAGCTGGTATTTACTGCCTTTACTTTTTTAAACCAAAGACTCCCATTTCCTAAATGCTTTCAATATTCAATATTTGTCATTTTTATGTCATTTTACCAGTATACCTGCTTCTGAAACTTTTCTCCACACATTGCCTCTGTCATTTAAAAATTCCACTCTGAAAGGCACTGAGCAAATGCAACTATTTGGTTCTTCTCCAGTCTCTCTTTTTCTTGATGTTTGTTTGTTTTTAAAGGCAGAATTTGGAGGACTAACGGGAAAACTTTCCATAACTACTGCTGCAAGCATTTTAGTGTGCCACATACTTGGCCCTTCAGCGTGATGATCTGTGAGGCCTGAAACCAGCATTGTCAATAACACAATACAAAAATATTTTTTAATCTAGAGATCCTTACCTTTCTGCTTCCAGGCGCATCTCTTCCCGCTTTTGCCTCCTCAGTTCCCTGCGACGTTCAAAATCATCCATGGTGTGGTTTCAGGTTTAGGGAGACCAGATGATGTCTGGATCTACAGAGGAGGAGGTAGAATCAATATCATCGATGAGTTGGAGTTATTATCTCCCATGAATTGCTTTAGCCACCCCCTTTCCCTCATTTTTTCTTTACTCTTAAGAAAAACACCTTAGAAGACGGATCCTGTAGCCACGGATCAATTTCTGACTCCCGAGCTGAGTCCTTTCTGTGTTAAATTCAGTCTCATTCATGAAACTATTTGAGGCAAATAAGTAAGATTCCAGGTTTACAGTTAAGAAAAAAAAAAAAAAAAGACCTCAGGAGTCAGAGAGGTTTTGAAGACTAGAAATATTGATGGGACCACTTAAGAGGTACTGAAAGGTTTTGTTCTTTGTGACTTGCTGAGCCACACACAGACAAAAGTTATGAAATAGTGAACAAAGAGGAAAAGAAAGCTAGAGGGAAAACAGAAAAGTGGCAAGAAAGGGAACATGTAGGAACTAAGAGAAAAATAAAAGACAAATAAAATCATACGTCTACCCAGGCATAATTTGCATATCCTAAAAGAATATTAGCATCAGAATGATGATAAAGACCGCAGCAATAGTACCACGAATAAACATAATGCAGCAGCATTTTTTAAAAGCGGTTACGTTAGGATCAAGCTGTTTCCAGAGCTTAAAAGTCCCGGCTCCTGGTAACGCACCGTTTTATCCTCTCCTACCTCCTCTGTGATGGTTTTAATCCCAGAAAGATCCTCCCTTTCCAGCTCTTCAGCTGCGGAGCCCGCTTCCCCTGCGTTTCTGTGCCATGGAGTCAAGTATTCCAGAATTCCCCTGCAGCCCCCGAACCCAAAATGACTACCAGAAAAGGGGAAGCGGGCTCTTTTTGTCCTTGCTTTGTTTACAGAGCTGTCAGTGGTTAGTTAAACTCGGCCTGGAATCTGGCATTTAAGGCCTGCTTGAAGATTGTTTCCTGTGTGGAGCGGGAGGCCTCCACTTCCTCTGGAATCCTAGACTCTGGTGCACTCAGATCACAAAAAATATTTTCCAGCCTTTCTGTGCACATGAGACGAGCCATTTGCTCTGCGCAGGAAAATAAGGAGCCTCGCCCAGCCTAGAGCCATCCCCGAGTGCAACTTGGTTGGAGGCAGCGAAACTTAGATTTTGAAGCCAAGTCGGTGCCCTTCTTAAATAAATTGTCAGGTTTTCTTTTTTCTTTTCAAGCATTCCTCTCCCCACCCCCACCCCCTTCAAAAACCCCACGCAAACAAAAACAAAACCTCAGCCAACAAAAACAAAACGATCCAATGTTTGGATGTTTCCCTTTTCTCCTCCCCCAGGGTATTGCTTATACTGCTTATAAACCTTTTAGAAATTTGAATTCTGGTGTTTATTTGGAGCTTTTCCTTTGGAAGGTGTTTTTCTATCTTACTCCTACCAAAGGTACATTTCTAAAATGTTGTTAGTTATGAAGGATCAATTTTCCTTTTTATAAAAAAAAAAATATTTCATTAACCATAAAGAAATTTCGCTACATTTTCCAGCCTGGTCTCATCATAGGAATCAGAATGAAAAAAAAAAAAAAAGTGAGTTGCGGGTCCCTGGGATGGGCTCCTGTTCTGAGTGCAGTGCAGTGAGAGAGTCAACTCTGCTCTTTCCTCTCTTCAATAAAGCCTTTTGTTGTCTACAAGCCACTTCTCAATAACTATAGCAACAGCAAACAGAAATGGGGAAAGAGGCCAGTCCGGAGGCAAACAATTTAACTTTTCTTAATTTATCCAAGTAGCTTGAAGAGCATCCTCTGAGCCTCCGCTCCTCCCTTATCCGAGCTAAGCAGTCGGCCAGCCCTTGGGGAGCCACAGGGGTTCCGCTTCTCTGCCGGTACCTCCAGGGGAGGTGCTAATGGGCAGGGGAAGACGGAGGCCCAGCCGGGAAGAGGCACGGTGGCGGTGGCGGTGGCGTCTTGGAGCACTCCAAGGGGAGGGAGACTGACCAACCTCCTGTGGGCACTTTGGCTGGGTAGCTCCCTGGCTTTCTACTCGCACAAATTCTCTTTCTCCTCCCCATTCTTTTCTTCCTACTCCTCACCTTTCATTACTTACTTATCATTTTTCTTTTCCAATCAGAGAAAAATTCTATTCTTATCTAATTATTTACTCATTTAAATGCTGCTGATTATATATGTGGCGCACTTCAGGGGTAGGGAGAGAGAGAGAGAGAGAGAGAGAGAGAGAGAGAGAGAGAGAGAGAGAGAGAGAGACTACATAGACAAGTGCCTTTCTGTGTTACCCTTTGTAGACATGTGGTGAGTCTATCTGAGGGAGAGGAGGCAGCACATCTGTGTACCATGTGATGTGACTCTCCATTGGAGTGTGTGTGTGTGTGTATGTGTGTGTGTAAGTGTGTGTGTGTGTGCATGCGCAGGTGAAAACGGTTCTTGGTTGGTCTCACACCAGCGTGGAGTTGAAGATCTTTCTTAATCCTCACACCCTATATCGCAGAACTTCTGAACTTCGCTGGCATGTTCTTATATGAGGCGAGCCACGTCTGGATAGAACTGTGAGTGACTTCCCCACCCCTCCCTCTTCTGAGAGCAGTAGCTTCCATGTCCCCAGCTAGTAATCTCTCATTTCCTCCCCCAACCCTAGTCAAGGCCGAATTCCTTCCAGCAACATTGATTAGGAAACAGATTCTCAACCAATGAAGTGATGAAATGTTAAGGCAGAGAGATTCTTTAAACTGTGGAGCTCCTGAGTGTCACGAATGGACAGAGCAGCCTGAAAGAGACATGCCAATGTATGGGACAGATGGGTTCTTGAAAAGTTTTATGAAAAGCTAGATTTTTGTGCTGGGGGACTGTAGTCATGCTACTGCAAGAACTCTGATGTGACTTCTTTGTAAAGGGGAAAAAGCACTTTACAAAGGCAAATGAACCATTACCTATTGATATATCTGTCTTTTCAATATGGGTTCTCAAATATAGGATTCTCAGGGCACACCAGCCCTGGCCAGTTTGGCTCAGTGGATAGAACGTTGGCCTGTGGACTGAAGGGTCCTGGGTTCAATTCTAGTCAAGGGCATGTGTGGGAGGCAACCAATTGACAGCAATGTTTTTCTCTCCCTGTCTCTCCCACTCCCTTCCACTCTCTCTAAAAAGCAATGGAAAAATATCCTCAGGTGAAGATTAACAACAACAACAACAAAAACAACCAGGGCACACCAGGCTGCCATAATCTATACTAATAATAGCCTAGGGCCGTCAAGACCTAAATAACCAGATGGCTGACTGGTCACCAGGAAGTGCATGGAGCACCTCTCAGTCCCTCCCCCGCTGTCCACAGGCTTCTATCACAGCAAGGCTGGCGGCAGGTGGGTGGGTGGGGCGGTGGGGGGTGAGTGGGGCGAGCTGGGGATCAGGCCTGAATATAGGCCTGGAGAGAGAGGCAGGTCCTGATCAGCAACTGCTGCGGAGGCTATGGATCAGGCCCAGAGATAGGCCTGGAGAGAAAGGCAGGGCCTGATCCGCAGCCATTGAGGAGGCTGTAGATCAGGCCTGGAGATAGGTCCAGAGAGAGAGAGAGACAGGTGGAATTCCCAGAAGAGTCAATGGCTGCCTAGGAGGCGGAGCTTTTGATGCTGACAGGCATAGAAACTGACCAATCAGAACCAAATCTGGGTGAACTGCGAGGAGCCAATGGCTGCCTAGGAGGCGGAGCTTTTGATGCTGACTGGCATAGAAACTGACTAATCAGAACCTAATCTGGGTGAACTGCAAAGGCAGGACCTAAGGTGGGGGCTGAGGAGGGGTTTTAAGGACAACAGCTATTTGGTGTAAGGTGTAAGAAAGTGGTTCAATTTTTTAATAACTGGTTTGGCAGTATAGTGCATATGGTTGGCTATCAGTCCAGATATAGGGATTATGTATTTTTGTCTGCAAAGAGCATCTCCTCCTGCTGAAAAAGCTCCCCCCCCCCCTCATTTAAGCAATCCTATCCTATATAGTGTATCTATACTAATAAAAGGGTAATATGCTAATTAGACTGGGTCAACTGGCCATCTTCCAGATGTCCGACTTCCTTCCGGACAAAGCCATGGTGGTGAGGGCCAAGGCAGAGGCAGATAGGGGGGATCAGGCCGGCAGGGAAGGGCAGTTGGGAGCGAGATCAGGCTGGCAGGGGGTTAGAGGCAATCAGTCCAGCAGGGGAGGGCAGTTGGGGGTGAGATCAGGCCAGCAGGGGAGGGCAGTTGGGATTGAGGTCAGGCCGGCAGGGGGTTAGGGGCAATCAGGCCAGCAGGGGAGGGCAGTTGGGGGTGAGATCAGGCCGGCAAGGGAGGGCAGTTAGGGGTGATCAGGCAGGCAGAGGCAGTTAGGGGCGATCAGGCCAGCAGGGGAGAGCAGTTAGGGGCGATCAGGCCAGCAGGGGAGAGCAGTTAGGGGCGACCAGGCTGGTGGGGGGGCAGTTAGGGGCAACCAGGCAGGAAGACAGAGAGGTTAGGGGCGATCAGGCAGGCAGGCAGAAGGGTTAGGGGCAATCAGGCAGGCAGAGTGGTTAGGAATGATCAGGCAGGCAGGCAGGTGAGCGGTTCAGAGCCAGTGGTTCCAGATTGTGAGAGGAATGTCCGATTGGAGGGGGTGCAGGCTGGACTGAGGGACCCCCACCCTCACCCCCGTGCATGAATTTCATGCACCGGGCCTCTAGTTAATAAGTCAGTGTTACAGTTTTCAAATCACTTAAACACACTGTTCTTCCTTTTGGTAATGACACTGTAAGTACTCAGTTATTAGGGGGAGAATCATGTGGTGAAAACTAAGTCTTATCTACCCTCAAATTATCATAAACTGAATGGTGAGTGGGTGGGGGAAAAGTCTTTGGGGACAGTATCACTATTGGTCTTGAAATACATCAAGAATAAAACCTGTAGTCACAGGGACTTTGAATAAGTTAATTGAGTTCTAAAATAACTAACATTTATTGAACATGTACTATGTGCTGAGACTTTTTAAAAACTTCTATTTAAATCAATTAATTTTATTTCTTAGAGTAGATTTAGG